CAGCGACAGAGTGATGGCGGCCAGTCCTGACTTCGCATTTTTGCGAGCAGCCTATTGTGTAGCACTGCATCTAAGGCACCTTGAATGTCCAGCGTGACCATAGCTGTGACTTTGTTGGATCTTATTGCAGCTTCTGCATCGTGTGTGACACATGATGCCAGGCCGACTGCTGAGCGTCCTGGTAGCGCGCCGAATAGTTGGGAAGGTACTGCCTTGTACTTTACCGCAAGCCAGGACATCCGTTTAGCTGTTAGTCTTTCCAGTCCCTTGCCTAAGCTGGAGAGTAACGATATAGGTCGCCATCCTTTTGGGCTGGAGAGATCGCGTCCAGTTTTAGGAAGAAGTACAACTTCCGCCACCTTGAAAGGTGTTGGAAAATATTCCAAGTTTAGACATGCCTGAAAGAGGTCCCTGACATATGTTCCAATCGAGCTCCAGCAAGCCTTGAGTAGTCGGACGGTGATTTTGTCATACCCTGGAGCCGTTTCTTTACTTCTAATGATTGACACTGTAACTTCTTCCAACGAGACTTCTCCGTTCCATGGGATAGACTCTGGTTGACCATTCTCCCATTTTTCTACATCGCTTCTGGCGTCGAATCTTCCCAGAAGGGAATCACGCAGTGCGATTGTCCACTCGAGTGGACCTAAAAGCCACTGGTTTGGTGATACCCGGAGAGGAGGAGGCTGTTTCGTCGGCTTTGGTTTGGCCCATCGCATGAGTTTGAACACTTGTGCTTCTATCTCTGCTGCTTCGACTTGCTTTGTCCAATATTCGCGTTTGGCTGACTTCACCGCGGCTCGGAAAGCCTTACGTGTCGTTCCTGTATCTCCACATGTCCTTTTAGCTGCCCTGTAGTCAATCTGTCGTTCTTTGCAGTCCTCAGTCCACCAAGGCGCAGTTTTCCCACTTCCTACAGCTGGTGCTCGTCCGACAACTTTGGCCGCATCTTGAAGTACTCGGATTAAACTCCTCGCGAAGTCCTCAATCTCGATTTGACTACTTAGGGGGCCAGGCCTTACCCATTGCTTCACGCATCGTGAAACTCATTTAGATCGCAGTATCTAACACGGGTTGGTCTTGGGATTCCAGATAGCTCCAAGTACCCGGGTGTCAGGCGCAGGTTCACTAGGCGCAAGACTCGAGACGTCGGAGAGGGCGTAGCGTACAATGTACTGAGGAAGGACGCCTCGTGGGAACGCGGAGGGCTTTCTAGAGAAGTGGTAATTGGGAAAGCGGGGAGTCGTTCTAGATAAAGGGGCCGGAGGTGACGGTAGGTCACTATAGTTGGCAGAGGACGAGAGTGAGACGTGATTAGAATAATATAACTATTCCTAAAGACAGAAAACAAAGCGTGAAGATCTCAGTCTCGGAAATGGAAACTACATAGGTGCCCTCGCTAAGCAATAAAGACTAGTGGGATTAAATAAGGGACCCATAAATCCTGCCTAAGGCATTTCTCAAGAATCCTTACACCGGGTGTGTCAACTGAGACCTCAATAGTAGAGCGGTCTGATGTACAGTGAAAGTGGTTTGAGACTGCTGCAAAAGCCGTCGTGTTACTCCAGGTTAGATCTAGCACATTTCCGTCACGGTGGGTGCTTTCTCCAATGGTGCTTAGTAGCTGCATATTATTTTCGCGGGTCCATCCCATGATGAGATCGCCATTACCATATTGGCGTTCTATTAACGGCTGCCAATGCTGTGAGACTGAATTAAAATCACCTCCCACTACTGAAGGGCCATTGGGACGCCAGTTTAGTAAAGATTCCAAAGTCCCGCTGGGGCCTGGGGCACAATACACGTTTACAATGGTCAGTCTAGAAACCTGCACGAAGCAATAGTCTGACGTCTGACTTGTTGACGAAGGTGCAATCTGCGTCGCTTGCAGTCCTTTCCTGACAAAAGTAACGGCGCGTAGTCGTGATCTCGGTACCGTATTTCCCAAAGAGTATGAAGCTATTGAAGCCAGGGTGGCTTTTTGTAGTAAAATCTCCGACTTCTCGCATGATCCATGGTTCTTGTACCATGACTATGTGTACATCTGCATCCCAAGCTTGTTGCAGCGCTATGTCCGTGTTCGGTCCGCCCTTTCCCACGTTCATTTAGTGAAAGAGAAGGGTGCTATGTCTTTGTTTGTGATTGAATGAGTTTTGTGTATTACTCATTATCATGCATTATTTCTTCTGGTATGTTAATGACCTCGCGGGCCTTACCTTTTTCTTGAGATCTTGACAATGCTGTCTTGAGTTCCAGATGTCCTCTCTCACGAATAACTCGTAGCTCTGCTGGTGATCGAGGCGTTACTTGACCGTGATGTCGCCTTGGTCGAGCCATGCAGCTCAAGTGAGTTGATTCGTGCGGCCCAGCACAGTTTGAACACTTGGGGATGTTGACCGTGCATTCTGCTACTTTATGTATACCAGAACATTTAACATACCGCTGTCCATTGACGCAGTTTCTTGTTGAGTGGTATCCCCAACAGCGTTGACACTGCTCGATGGGGCATCGACGGGAAAACGGAATGGCGGGCCCACTCTCGTCGAATAGTCTGAATCTTAGGTTGGATGGCACCTGTCTGAAGTGTATTATCCAGCTAGCAGAATAGCTTCATAATTTTATATCGTTTGGGCGCACCTGTATTGGTGTGACTCCACAAACTGCCCGGCATTCCGTCTTCAACATTTCACAAGTAACTTCAATCCTTCCGTCTAATGTACGGATGCAGATTGAGGCATGAGGGACCATGACGGACGTCCAATCTGAAGCAGGCTCAATTGTGATTTCCTCCTTTTGAAGTGAAGGACCACACTCAGAATCGAATCCCTGAGTGCGTCTGATGCACACTCTATTGCTAAGCCGGACCTAACTTGTGTCATCGCTATGATTGCTGAAGGTGCGACTCCAGCTTTTTCAGTGATGAGTTTCTTTATTGTGACAGATGATAACGTCCGCCACTGATGTTCTCGCCCTATGCGAAGGAAGAGTCTTTTATCTTCTTTCGGGAGCTCTTGTCCGGCTGGTCTTCGTTTTACCAAATTGGCTGGCGAGTCTGGGAGCTCGGCTGCTTTCTGAGCTACTTTGGCCCACGAAGAAGCAGTCTCCTTGGGCTTTCTTGGCAGTTCTTGAAGGGGTTTGTCGCTTGGTTTTGTCGTCCTAGGTACAGAGGTTTTTATTCTGTGTACTTTCTGGAGATTGGTTCTTGCCTCGGAGAATCGTGGCATTGGCATTACCTATCGCGAACGCTGTCACGATGGGTGAAATGTTTTCAATGAAAAGCGCGACTAAGGCCGCACCTTCGGTCCCTGACTTGAATTTTGCCCAGGCGTCGATGTTTTGCAGAAAATCCTGAGCTTAGCATATTCGCTGCTTTCTTTGGCGTTCTGATTGCTCCATGACGGCAGCTATCCCAAGAAGGCTCGGGTGTAAATAGTCGCCTGCGTCGATTGACGCCGAGAATGACGGCTGATTGTACGTAGCCATGATGCTGCTTGATATCTCGGGTTTGGGTACGGGGATAAATGTACTGGTACTCGTGTATGTGATGGAAGAATTGGATGATGGTATGATCGGGGAATGTGGAGATACTGAATGAAAACTGTAGAGTGGATATTCGTAGAGAATATGATGATTCCTAGGGACCAATTTTAGGCCAACCAAAGCGTTGCCCTCGATAGAACTAAGCTGCTCTTCGAGATTTAGGTTCTATAAAATCAGTTGTCAAAGTTGCCGAATTTGCCCATCCATAGTGTGCCCTAAAATTTTCGGCTTTTTTCTGTAGTTTTTTTTTGAATTAAACTTCCCCAGTAATTTCTACCCAGTCGACTAAATTTTCTCCATTATTCTATACACCAGTGTCTTATCTTCCGTGTTTGGGCGGCTTGATCTTTCGACGTGCAGTTTAGCTGGTGTTGTAAAGTTGCAGGCCCTTACACGCCCGATGTGTTGAAAATTTTGTTGATTTAGGTAGATCCTTTCCAGCAGGTTAGCAGCTTCATGATCTAGCACTCGTGTTGATCTATTTCCACGCTCCTGCGACTACTCTGAAATTTTCTTCATTTAACTTGCAGAGGCTGTCTGAGGTGTTATTGTTAGTAATTGAAGAAAGAAGTCTCCCAAAACCATTAAGCCTGAGCAGTGAGGCCCAAGTGTATACAAATCCATAAACGTGTCATAATAATAATAGAGCAGGAAGCTATTGAATGCTAGCAATCAATTGTGGAATATTTTGTAGCCCCAATTAGGCTTTTTGTCTACGATGCTCAAAGCTTACTATTCGGAGGACATTAGTTCTACAGTGTCGTCGAAATCCTCGTCAGACCATCACTGGAGCTGAAATACTAGCTCGTCGATTTTGAGCTGGTCAGGAAAAATTGTTAATAGGATTATTAGTTTGTTCTACCAATGTGTAGTTCTTGGTGTACTGGGTATGACGCGTAAAAGTACGTTATGAGTGAAGACACAAAATGAATGAGTCACTTTCATGGACACACACATAAGCAGTGAGATATGCAGTCACGTTTAGGGTTTGTGTGCTATGTCAAGTTTAGTACAAGAGCATAGGTGGGAACGGAAAGAGGAGGCAGTTAAGTTGAACATGATAAAATGGAAGAAAGCAGAGGAAGTGTGTTATTGAAAAGCGGACATGATGATGATCCTAAAGGCGTATTGGCTAGAGCATGGGCAGCAAATTCAAAGATTGTAGTTACTTAGATGGGAGTCAGGATTTGGGTATCGGATGATTGACCATCCACTATTTCATCTTAGTGGTTTAGATTAGAAGATTCCTGGGTTGATTATTTCATATGTACAGTATGACTCTTCCAGGCTTATGAGTTGGAAAGTATTTGTTCAAGCCCTGCCCATGCCATCAACATTCTGTGAAGGCTTTTGCGATTTTTTCGACGGGAATCCAAGTTCCGTAGAGGACATGCTTTAATTTCGGACTGTTCAGGAGGAATTTGTGGTTACTTTGCATCAAGATTTCTTTTTGCCTTGGTCTACGCTACCAACTCAACTACGCCACCAGCTTCAGTTATTTTCCGTTCGGCTTCCTTACTAAACCAGCGGGCGCGTACGACAAGGGGAACTTTAGGGATGCGGCCCTTTCCGAGGACCTTGGAATATCCAAGTGGTAATAAGTCGATGACTGGGATTACATCTGGGTTTGTAGATGAGAGATATGCGTCTCGCTTTTCAACAGGGATCAAAGACCACAGCTAAGAGTGATTAGTATGTTTTTAGCAGCTATGTATGTTGATATTTTTCGCTAGATAGCAGTCTTATAGACAGTTGGGCTTAATAGCTTCCCAACCATACTTAGTTAAAAAATATAAACATACCTTTTCGAGATTCAACACAGGCTTCCAAAAATGGTTGCCTTGCTTGTGAAAATATCGCATACCAACCTTTCCGAAGTATCCAGGATGGTACTTGTCCATATTTGTTCGGTGATGATGTTGTCCACCAGCAAGACCTCTTCCACCGGGATGCTTGCGATGTTTTCCTACTCTTCCGTGACCAGCCGAAACATGTCCGCGACTATGAATTGTAGTTAGTTTAAATTCTTAATATATTCTTTGTATTATTCTCTTTTGTTTATTGCGTGCATCTCGACTAATGAATGAATATAATTCTACTCGGACTGATAAGTTCAGTCTGCACTCATGGGAGATCCATAAAATAGCGAAATTATATCCGGCTCTTACTGATAGAACAAGATTAATTAAGTGCGGGTAACGTACTGCTTGCGAGTCTTGCTTAAGTGTGTAGGCATCGTTGGTCAATGGCGTATGTTGGTGAGTTTGTCGGTGCCGGTTGTTTTGTCAAAACCTGTTGGTATATCGAGATCTTAGTTACCTTCAACCCAAGCGAGCTACGTTAGGGCTATAACCCTAGCGCGTCAACTCCCAAACCATCGGCTCACCTATCTATTTATGGCAGGAATAATATTCGTTATCTTCTACTAGCGATGTCACAGTAGTCGTCTAATCTGCGACGTACAACATAGAGCTTAATTTTCGTCAGAACGTTTCAGGGTCCGTCTGGAAACATCACTTGTACGTTATCTTATTGATACAGCCACGATTCAAGACCTACAGTAGCCTATTGCACTATTCCGTACGCTAGACGGTACTGAAAAGATAGAATAACATTCCAAAAATTAGACACCATATCAAGACATTTCCTAACTTCAGTACGGTATTCGATATATTCCGAGCGACGAATAAGGAAAAGAGGTAAACTGAGGCTAGAAATTTAGAGAGTAAATTTCCTTGAGTACACACAAGTCTGCAGTCCTCAATTTTCCGGCTTCTTCAAACGCTTCGGAAGGGCAGCTATGTCTCCACAAATACTCCAGATGTGGTATATTTAGATCTAGATATCCAGTTGTTTTTGCAATTTTTCAAGCTACTTAATACCCACTAGCTAAGATTGCCTTGACGGCTAGATATGAATAATAGCAAAGGGAAAGGCTCCCTCTAAGCATTTGATCAAATAAGGACTTCTGCTGGGGTGACACTGTCCAATGGAAACCGTAATGAAGGCACAGGATGGAATATAGCACCATATGGGTGTCCCTGGCCTGCTGGTAGACAGGATCTATATAACCTGTATTCTTGATGTGAGAATATACGATATCATTCAGTAGACTCTTTGTTAAGAAGACGATCTCTTCCAGGCTGCCTGACCCGACAGGACCTCTATTCGTGCACTACGGGACGCCAATGGTTACCTCCATGTGTAATAGGCAGGGGATAGATTGACGGGTCCCGATAGCCCACCAATAACTGGTTTTATTCACCATCAGTCATTTTTTGGGCGGCAACAATACCAAGAGATAGATGAAGATAAATTATGATAAACTGCTAGGCTATGTAAAATTGTGGCTGGCAAAGACGAACTCTTTATCTTCCAGTGGTGAAGGTGTGATCGCTCAGTATACTCTGCATAACTGGGATAGCCAAGGAGAATCGCATTCGAATCGAAGTCGAAAGGAAACTCAAGCATTTCTCCATTTGACGACTTCTCGACAATGCCTCTCTTATCATTCTCATCTGAGTCCTCAACCTCTTTCTAACCACGCATCACCTCACCTCAACGACCATTAAAGGCGTCACCCCAATTTCAAACAAGAGCTTGCCTCATTCATCACTGGCCATCACTCATTACAAATTTACGAAGCTACGTACACCCACAGGGAAGATATTAAGTCGTAATATACAAAGTTGGAGGTTTGGGTTATGGGGAGCTGATGCTCTAATGGGACTAAATATCTTGAGGAAGGACAAGCGGCTGAGATGTGGAGCGGGATGGGGAACAGGTCTCTGAAGACCATGCTGGGACTGACATTTTTGAGGTTGTTTCTACTTGGGGACAATATTGAGGGGCAAGACCGAGGCTTCGGAAAATTAGCCGGGATGATTTCTATTGTCGATAAGTCAACGGCACTCCCCAGCGCCCAGGACGGTACAAAAGAAGTTGGGCTAAGCTACTATACAGCAATCACGCTCTGTCAAGACTTTTCTGACACTCCAGCACAACATTCAGGAAGGAGTTGGGAGGAGGCTAGAAAGGCAGAGAGTGAATTTCTCGAGGTACACACAAGTCTGCAGCGCCCAGCTGGCCGGCTTCTTCGAACGCTTCGGAATGGTAGCTATGTCTTCGGACCTAGTCCTAATGTCGGTATTAGGAGAGCTCCGCACCCAGTAGTTTTTTGCGAATTTTCTCGGCTGTCATACACCCGCAAATGGCGATCGTTTCGTTGGCTGGAGAGGGGAGATAATGAAGGGCAAATGGCTCCTCTTAGTGTATGATCGAAGGAGGACTTGTGAGGGGTGGTACTGTTTGAGGGGAGCTGTATGGGAGGTATAGGAGGGCATATACTACTGGTATAGGTATCCTTGGCCTGTAGGCAGAGAGAACCTGCATTTCCTACATAGTCATAGACTCAGACGGGACAAAATAGGGCTTGACCCTCACTTTTCATGAGAACATAGTTAAAAATTGTAATGTTGGAAAGGAAAAAATGTAACTAGTATCTTCTATATAGATCCTAGGAGTCATCTATAGTCATTGACTCCGTTAGGACTGAAAATAAAATTAACCTAATCTAATCAGACGGGACAATAAAATGAGTTGAAAAAATGGAACTTATGGTACTATTATAGAGGGGCACTTCAACTCAGGTTTAATTCTAGTATACTCAGGATTGATAGACATCCTGACCAAATTTTGGCGTCTCTCAGTACGTCTGTTCGTAATTTAAAGCGGATATGTACTGAACTGTGTAATTCCGTGATTGGAGGGCAATGACTGAACACCTGTGCTCGGTGCTCTCTACGAACCTGGGAGTGAAATATTCTTCCAGAGCCAAATTCAGTTGAATTTCGCAAGGCTGAATAAGTTAGCCCACGAGGCAGTGATTCAAAACACCCCACCATCTCAAATTTTGACTGCCGAGGAAGCTCACTCCTACCGAAGCTTCGTCAAGTATACAAGCACGACCAAGTTCATCCTTGTTACAATGATCACACCTCTCGTTGATTTTGTCTGGCCTCAGCTGGCCACCAAATAAATGCCCATACCGATATTTTCACCCGACTGAGGAAACAAAGCGTGGTGCACAAATCTGGGAGATAGTTTTTTGGGATGGACGTGAGAGGGATCAGGACAAGTTGACAAGATGATGCAAAGGATGCATACAGTCTCAATTGGCGTGAAATTTCGAATTCGGGCAAGGAGCTTTTACAAATTGAGCTTTGTGCGTGCCAAGACTTCGGTTGCGAGAGTGCAGGCAACACTGAGGTTTCTTGTGCACGTTAGTAAGAATAAAATGATAAATTTTGACAGTGAAATTCACGGATGTCTTGTGGCTCCGACTACGACAATCTATGTGTGGAGAGCTTGAGAATAGGTGTAAACTTGTATTTCCATTAACGTTCTAACTCCTCCTTAGATACATGAAATCCTCTATACTTCAGGTAATGAAACGATCAATGATACATGACAAGTAAACTATCAGAATACATTAGGGGAGAAGTGAGGTGCTTAACTGCCCGGATTGTGACCAAAGAATGCGAGGGGTGCATTCTTGATGGAACCTCAAACTCGGCGGCTCGCTTGCCGTGAGACATGGCGTTTCGCTCGGAATTGGACTTCATGATCCCCAACGCTGTAAACACTGTCATGGTTGGATGGTGCGGTGGTACATCATCTTAGCCGGTTTGCCAAGCAAAGTGTGGATAACTTGGACACATGTCCCACTTGAGACAGTAGATCGCTGGTTCAAGTCCAGCAAAATACAATCACATTTCTCGCGGAGCTGGTATGCTTGAATAACCAAAGGTTTTGAAACTTCCCTTTGGTGGGTACTTAGGGAGGGGTGTCGACTGTTTGTGTAAGCAAGCATACCTCATAGCGGTATTTGCGAATGAAATCCGGAGTATGAGTGTCTCTAACGTCAAAAGACTAATTCTATATGTCTACATAGCACCAGTCATGCGTCATTACTTAATAGCTGAATGCACATTAAATGATTAAAAATATCCGTATTTGTGGTGGCTGCTACTCCAGCAAGTGATGCGAGTATTTTCTTAAAGCTGAAAGGAGACATTATTTGCCATTCGTGTTGATATTCCAATCGTGGATAGAGTTCTTTTTCTACTTTTCGCCGATATTTTTGGCTGAGAATACTTACATGAGAGATCACCTTGAGGTTTGGGAGGCTAGCGGATGAGCCTGCTATCACCTAGGACGGGATGTCCTCCTTGGGCTTCGAGGCGACAAACTCCCTTTTGGATTAAATGTGATAAGAACTTAAGGCGGCACTGATTATGAAGGGTTTACTGCAGGGCTTCGAACTTTATTGGTTATTTGTTGAATCGCAACCAAGCCCATCTTTAAGATGTCACAGTAGCTACTATCTTTTCCATGAATAAGTCCGAGATCGTGAGCGCATTTTTTTTGCGTCAATCTTTCATCCTAGCCGTCGATAACCCCTTTTCAATCTTTGGTGAGTTTGAGCCTTGAATTTTTGCGTTACCTGCTTTCCGAATTACATTTGCTTTATACCGCAAACTTCATTGAGTTTGCCCTCCGGAATTTGGGGGTATGGGCCATGGAGATGCAATAGAAGAGGTTACTTAGTTGTATGCAATTCCCAAAAGGATATTGAAGTTTAATTTTGAGATGATAGGAATAGAGCTAGCGTGCGAGTGATTTACATGGTGCCAATGATGATAGTGTGCGTCGTTCACAAGAGACAAAGTACATCGTGTACTACAAAAAGTACTTAAATGACCCGGCTCCATCCCACTAATGCTTAAGTACCTCAGGAATTTGATCAGTTTCATCTATATAGCCTATCGATTATAGAACCTTACCTAATATACCGGCCGATATTTTGTGGAGTAGACTTTCAAGCCTGACAGAAGGAAGGGCCGTATCTTTTCGTTAAAGCTCTCACTAAAAGTTAACTGTAATTACAACATGTAGTTTGAATTTGATTTCAATAAACCCGATTAGGCACCCTATGGGTCCATGCAGGTCACTATCTGCATTATTTACAAAGGAGGAAACCAATTTGGTGAAAACCCCCTGATCCTGTCTTTTTATGTTCCTATCAATTTATTTGGTTTACCTTCAGGAAGTGCAGTGTACACTGTTCAGCCCGTGTGGATTCCGTCCTCTCCCCTTCCAGATCTATTTACTTTATCCGACATTGCTACCTCGACTTCTCCTGCCAGTCGAAACTGTTTTATCCACCCTTTGTTTAGTATCCACTGTGTAATTCTGGCCATGTCTTCTGGGCTGTTCATCATTGCTTCAAATGACCTGTCTTTAGCTTGTCGGAGAAAGTCGCCTCTTCCATTTGCCCACTGCGGACACGCCAACACCATATGCTTGACGTTTTGCGACGGATATCCACATTGACAGCTTGGCTTTTCTACTCCGGGTACTTTTCTTCTGCTCAGGTAAGAATTGAGTCCGATATGCTCGCTCCTTAGCTGAATGGCGACACTGCTTTGAGCCCTGGTTAGGTTACGGTGGATTTTTAAGGGGGTATCTTTGAAGTTCATTTTGACGCTGACTGTTTGCTTATCAGTAAATATATTTGCCTACAACCTTTAGTTGATTTGTTAATAATATTTCAGCTATTACTCATTAACCTAAAAGATAGAATCAGCTGGTCTCATGAGGACCGCGCAATAAAGATAGAAATACGAGTTCACGACCAATACAACCAATCTCAGTTGCAATCATAGGCAGTAGATAGATAAAAGATTATTGGACCGAGGTCAGAGTTGGGGCAAGAAATACCTTAAATAAAAAAATATATTATTACAAAAATTCCTCTTCTTCCCGTACATTGACTCTGTCAGCGTAGAGCTTAATATTACTAACAATGTTTTCGGCAATTTCAGCCCCTTTTCCGGCAGCTACTCTGAGGATCAAGTCGTTAAGACTCTGTCTTCCGAGAATATCTACATGATCTCCCGTGTTCGGCCCTCCACGAGGACTGAATCTATGAGGCTCATGGGGCATCTCAAACACTCTTACTTTGATCTTAGATGGGTTGTAGCGATGTATATCCCAGCCTTTGTTACACATGTAACCAACGGAGAGGAGATTAACAGTACCATCCCCTTCGCCGAGAATTACGCCATGATCGATATTGCTGGTCTTTAGAGCAGTGTCAATGGTGACATTCAGAGATGAGAGGGGTCCAGAGTCACGGTAAAAGTATGAGCGTTCTGTTGGTTTACCCACTCCTGGATCATGTCAATCCAAAGCATAAATCAAAGAACACATGAATAACGGACCGTAGAAGCAAAATATTTTAAGACTAGGAGCAAGTGGTAACCTTGTCTCTAATGGGTTGACCCATTTTTTAGGATTATTTTCATTTTCCTCCACTTCTGCTGACGTATGAGCTACTCCATAAGAATAAGATCCCCGAATCTGATCTTGATACCAGTCCTCTGTATTATTCATTAGGTATTTGAAACTTTCTTCTACGGTTAAGTTTCGTAAATTTCCGGGTGAGTCACTGTCCTGCTTAAAATTTAGAAACTCTCCAAATGTAAAATTCTGCCCTGGAAGATCATCTGGTGCCCATGTCGCATTACCCCATACGGCATCTCCCCCCATAGGGAGCATCGAACTGATCCCAGGCATGGCTCTAAATATCTCAGCACGTTCTTCCCTACTAAGAAACTTCTCAAGTCCATAAACTGCAAACGCATTAAGCTGTGCCGTGTCTTTCATCTCACCTGATAGTAGAGCTGGAACTCCTTTGACTGCACCTAGCATGCTTCCGCTGATGTTGATCCAAGAATCAATATATTTTTCTACCCAATCGTCTCCTCCATTTCCACCATTCAGGGAAGCAACCCAATGAAAAAAATAGAAGATAACCTGGCTCCCCATTGAATGTGAGACGAGAACAACCTTCTTTCCGGAAACCTGGTATGACATCTCAGCATATCTCTTCAGTCTTGTAAAATATTGATCTCTCGTTTCTAAGTTGGCGAAAGACAATCTCCAGTCATATGCGGCTGTGTAGCTATTTGTCGGGTCATATCCAATAGTCGCTAAATTTTCCAATATTTTACTCCAGATCCAATATCCAGTAATGAAAAAATCAGTAGCATCAAATCCTTGAGCAGCTCGAAGCTTGACACCTCCCTCTGGGTCTAGCCCAGTCCTCTTGTCTAGCATAATATGCCTTTTCCATTCCTCTTTATCTAATACTAAAGCACGCATCATACTCCAACTACCCCATAATCTTTTTCGAAAGTACTGCCTTGAATTATTTGTAGTTCCCCACGACTCTAAACCAGTTGAGATAACACCGGGGATCATAATCACGGAGTGATTTGCACGAACTCCTTGAGCAACGAGGTTCAGTCCGACCGAAAAAGAGTCATAATTAACCGCATCTCTCTCGGATCTCTTTACTGCATTAGTTTTTGATTTGATTTGTAGCTTTCCTTCTGTCGTTACATACCGAGAGATCTCTAGCATCTTTTATAACACCTGCTGGCAATACATCAAGTAGACTATCCATGCTCATCAACTCACCTAATTCAGGAAAATAGATGAGATCATTCTGCTTGGCGAATAGCCCAGCCAGGAAGATTCCAAAAAGCCCCCCCATTGAAAAAAATGAGGCCATCCTACGTTTGCCTGACTTACGTTCATTTGGATAAAGAGGATTGGGCATGGGTGAACTCGTAGACCTTGGAGCCGCATCATGGCATACTTTTTCGGATTCTTCTTGTCTTCCACTGCTATTTTGGAGAGAATTAACTTTAGATGTGAATCTCTTGCGGAAGCCTGATGCCATTTGGACTTGTGGAGTGGAAAGAAATGATCAAAAGTAATGATTGGTTGATTTCATGAATGTCGATGATTTTCGTAAGCATGTTGTGCTTGAAAGCGGTCAAGGTGGCGCCATCCCGAAGTGGCTTCACACGTAAAACTGATAATCAATACGTTGGTAGCTCACTGCCTAATAATGCTTGGTCTAATCGGAGGAAATTTCTTCGGCTCTGTTCCGAGATTTCCAGATGGACAAAAGCGATATGGGCAAAGAGTCTGCGGATAAACAGACATCATCACTAGCCACCGATCTTCAGTACATCCCCTACGACCATTCACTCGAAAGAAAGTACTTGCCTTCCATTAAAGCACTCATCGCCAAGGACTTGAGTGAGCCATACAGCATATATGTTTATCGATACTTTCTCTCTCAATGGAAAGATCTATGTTTTATGGTAATCCTTTTTTTAAAGGGCGCAAACTCTAAAACTGATACTATAGCAGGCGCTTTCTCCTACTACGCAAGCTCTTATCGGAGTCATAATTTCTAAGCTCGAAGTCCATGTCTCACATTCTCCCGCCACATTTAGGGGCTACATAGCAATGCTTGCTGTGTCATCAGAGCATAGAAATCACGGAATAGCGACATCATTAGTGAGGCAGACAATTGACGCCATGATAGCGCGTGGAGCAGACGAGGTTGTGTTAGAGACGGAAGAGACAAACGCTGCCGCCATGAAAATATATGAAAGATTAGGCTTCATCCGCAGTAAAAAGTTACACAGATACTACCTTAACGGTAATAGTGCTTTCAGACTCGTCTTATATCTAAAGGGGACTGAAGAAATGAGAAGAGAAGGTTATGTATAAGAGTGTAAGAGCTATGATCTAATATTCGACAATTCAGCGACTTAAAGCAACACAGAGCCGATCATGGAAGTTATCAGAAATGGCTAAACCTGCTTCAATTTACCTTTGGGAAAAAGAGACAAAAGCACATTTGATATGATACAGTATTGTCTTTCACAATCATACCACTTCCCAGAATAGATAAAACATTTACTATTCATGATCATACCACCATAATAAACTGTCTTGGAATATGAGATCTCGATCCAAACAAGTACAGGCACCATTCCAAAAATTTGTTCACACGTTATCGTCAAACTTTTAAAAATATTACAGAACCCATCCTTGCTGGAAATAGAGTGATAAAATTACATTTCAAATTACTATTTGAGTACCTCTTTGAATTCCATGCCAACTATTCAGCATTTTGCAAAAGCTCGAACTTTGATTATCGCAAGCAAGGCATTTGGAATTGAGTAAACATTTAACGACCGCTTAGAACAATCCAAATGGTAGCTGAAGTATTTCAAAATGACAAGCATTTTGAAATTATGATATTTAACATTAATTGTAATGAGTTATTATCAAGAATCAAGAAATGTTTTCGGGAGACCTTGCATATATAGAAAACTTTATGAACATCCGCGACCATAGTACTCTCTCTGATAAATTTATGAAACATTAAAATAAAGAGCTATAATTATCCTATGATTTTGAAAAAAAAAGCTTCATGTTTTTAGGGCGCTCAAAATTATACAACTGTTCACGTAGGTATCACTGCCTTATCATGAGAAAGTTAAAGATGGCATTCACTATAACACCAGTTGTGATAGATCAAAACTTCATGGGCTATCCCTAGTTTTTAATGCAAGGAAATTATAATCCTCTACTCCATTAAGTAAAGTTATTTTAAGATTGACCTGGAACAGATTTAGTGCCATAAGTACATCAAGTTTATGTGACACTCCTTGTAAAGTCAAATATCCCCTGTATATAAAAAGATATTTATTAGATCAACAGATCGAATAATGTGCCTTTTTAGGCCAATTGGCGCCATGGAAAACATACCCAATTTCAACTGCAAATCCTCTGCCTGATGAATATAACACTTAGAAGAAAAAGACCAAACACCTGTCCCCGGTGTCCTCTGCGAGCCTGGGAGTATCACGATTAAGGTACAAGTAGGTATGGAATGTTGAATAGGCTAGGGATAGTAGAGAGAATTGGATGAAGATTATCGAAGCTTTTTTTTAATTATTTGTAGTTTATCTAGCGTACACTAGCTATTTCACACTTGGCCGGCCATGAACGAGTAAAATAAAAAAATTACAGCTCTCCCTGACAAGAGTGTTCTCCCGATCCCTTATTTCCACATGTTTGACGAATAGCGTCTCCTATTCTTGCCTTTCACCTCGCAAGGTGAGCGGGGCACTTGGACTTTGGCTGTCGTGGGATCAGCCCTCCGTCCTCCCGCACTTCTATGATTATCGCAGCTTGATAATGATGATGATTTATTTATCGTGCCAGGCTTACATCCTCCATCCAATGGACATGACACGCATGGAGGACATCTAGAATACAAGTTCCTCCATTCTCCAGCAAAGCCCATCCGGTGCCTGACTTTTCCAAAAACGTGCCTCACGCTAGTTACATCGGGTCGAATAGGTAGGAACGCATTCACCATGATCCTAAGACCATGTATTGAGGGAAAACCTTCGTGAGAAAACCTCAATAATTCCTCCTGTACTCTTTCACGACGAGCAGCCGTAGTCCTCCCTTAAACAGGCCGTGTAGGAATCCAACCTACCACTTCTAGAAAGCACATCCAGCACCCGACCAACTGTGCCAAATGCCTATTGAAAATCACATATCGTTCTTCCCAAATTCTCCCCTGCATTGCGCTCAACCCCCATTTGAGAGGGCTGAAATTCCGAAATCGAGACTCCGAAATCGAGACCTCAAAACCGAGGCATCGGTGCCCCAGCTTTTGTCGTACATTGTTCGTTGTCTGAGCGAGGCTTCTTCGTTCGCGCCGTCCTTGGAATGTGTCGAAAGGTTGAAAATGTTGATGTCGCGGTCGAGGTGCTTGTCTAAAATGAGGCCGAGCAATTGCCCAGTCCTGCACACAATGTTAGTAAGGTTGAATGCGAAAGGAATATGACCTTTGATTTTGGAGGGTTGTTGGTGAGTCGTAAAGTCCTCCCAGTCAAACTCAATCGGGAAGTTGTTAGGAGACTGAATAGAAGAGACCCAAAATTAAACTTCAACTTTTGATCTATCGTGCCGGGAACGGAACCTAGCCCATGTGTCAATCGAAATCAACTGGGCCACGCTAAGCAAGCTGCCGTTGCGAAGGATGCGATTCTTCTTGGCTATCCCAGATATGCAGGGCAGTCTGAGCGATTACACCGGCACCACTGGAAGGTGAAGAATTCGACTTTGCCGGCTTATCGCAGCTTGATGATGTTATGAATATTCTGGTAGTAGTCTATCTACATATCATGGCAGTATTTAGGACTATTATCTATGTATTGGGTACCCACTACACAGTACATCACTGTCTATGGAGGAGGTGCTACAATCTCAGTTCCGTGCCATACTATCCCAGATCTCTCTATGCCATTGTGTAGAGATGCGCCCCAGTACTCGATCATAATGATGGCTATGTGAGGCTGCGCAGCACTTGCAAAGATGCATTATATCCCTGACACTTGGTAGATATTTATTTAGAGTAACTGTGATAATCACATCACAACAAGGAATGAAATAATTATCTCAAAGCCAAGTTCAGTCGAAACTCGCAATACCAGAGAGGTCGTACCACGAGGCAATTATTCAAGTATCTCCATCGTATCAATCTCTCAAACCTAACAAGATCAATTGCAATTAATGCTTCTTCAAATTTAGAAGTATGACCTTGTTCACTCTAATTCTCTTGACCATATTTTTGATCGACTCATTTCCTAGCCTGAAATGTTCATCAATTGCACGCCCATGGCACTTTGAATACCTGCAGGAGGACAAGATTCTTGGTGCACATATTTAGTTGTTTGCTCCTTCGTATGAACTCGGGAGAAATCAGTAAAAGTTGACAAGATGATACAAAGGAAGGATACAATCTCGGCTGGTGAGAACTTTTGAATTTGGAAAAAAGCCTTTCAAATTTAAGAGTGTTGTGCGATTGAATCCGTCGATTCCCAGTGTTAGAATTGCTACGGTGTGGTTCCACGATCGATCGTAATGATTCAGTAAAGAGTTGTACGATTCTGTGTTGGTCTAAAGTGTTCATAATTGTCTTTTCTATGCTATACAGGATTCACAGCCATACTTGTTTTTTATTTTATTTTTTATTTTATTTTTACATTTGGTCCTAAGCTAACGCTATCTTTTCCACATTGGGTCAAGGACCGGTGGAGCCGGCAAGGATCACTGAGTACAGGCCCAACTCATTCCAACCGCATGAACTTCTACTGAAATTGTAGAAGTTAACAGCAAAACTAAAATCAAAAACATAAATCAAAACCTGAAATCAAATTTGGAAGAAATACTGTTTGGTCCGGATCCCGCGCTTCTCGCCCGTTCCCTTTCCTGCCACATCTTCCACGTGACTTTTTCTTATCTCCGCTGGGAGCGAATGATTAGTTCGCAGATAACCTGAATTCAGCTGGTATCCTGCTATATATTTTGAAGCTTTTTGTAGACTTCACCGAGGGTTGCTGTACCCTCAGACTTCTTCTTCGGATCCCAGGATTCCGAAACCCGATCCCTCGGCCATCGAGACATCCTTCGTTGAGGCCATCGTTGCCTCTTCGGCCCTTTTGGCTGCAGCCCTAAATCGAGCCACTTTCGCGAACTCCCCTTGCTGGATCTGGCAGATCCGCGCGAGCTGCTCTTTTGTCACCGGTCCGGACTTGCTGGGTCTGGCTAAGCAGGCCCGAGAATCCGATCGGTGAGGTCCCCCACAGTTTCGACACCGGGTGAGGGCCTTGCACTCTGATTCTGAGTGCATATTAGATCCGCATTTCCAGCAAGCTGGAGCGCGGGAACAACCACGGGTGGCGTGAAATTCAAGACACCGTTTGCATTGTTCGATTTTGCGACGAGGTCGGAAGACCTTTGCAGCTCCAGAGTCGTCGAAAAGGCGGAATCCAGGTCGAGGAGCGGATTCTCGGGGAAATAGCGCTTGCCAATTTGAGTAGGGCGCCCCTGGTTTGCTAGTCCCACGAGGACGAACCAGAAAGGGAACCAATTGGGTCACTCGCGTAACTTCGTCGGCAACCATCTTTGCCGTCACGGCAATTGGGCCAGCAAGAGTTCGAATTGTCTCCGGGACGGTGACAATTTGCATGGCGACCAGATTTGATGCTGGTTCCAGTTTGATTCCAGATTCGCTACGTGATGTGGAGGAATCTAGGAGCTCTGTTCGAGCGAGTTCATCCTTTGCAGTTATTGCAAAGCCGGTCTTTACCTGCTGAACCAACGTGATATTGATGGCAGCGATTCCCAGCGCCTGAGACACCGCTAGCCTTACGCCAGCTGGAGAAAGGAGACGGTGGGGATGGAAATAGTCAAGGCGCAGAAAAAGTCGTGAATCGACTTTTCCACTCGAGTTGGCACTTTTTGCTTTCTGGGCGGGCGGTGCTGCCTTCTTTGTCGATGGCCCAGCGCTACTGACTAGGCCTGCCCGAGCTACGGTGGCTCAAGTTGTCTTTGGGGCCGGAGCCTGGGTTTTCGTAGAGTTAGGTGCCCTAATTTCTGGAGCCCTCGGTGAGAGAGGGTTGGCGGGGCGGGCAGGAAGGACTGGTGGTGTGCTTCCTGGACCGGATTGAACGAACTGGCCAATAGCTGCTCGTAGGTAGACTTTTATACTGTCTACGAATTCTTTATTTTCGCCGATCGAAAGAGGCGAAAGTGCTGCTTCAACTCTGCTGATTGCAGTGGAGCAGATGTCATGGCGGGCCGTAATTTGCGTCGTACGTCGCTTTTCGGCCTCCATCACGGTTTGCAGCTCCGGAGGAAAC